AGACCGGAGCGTTTCTCTTCACCCTCTTCACACATTAACCTCCTCTCGGTAAATGTCCCACACACAACCCGGTTTCTTACCCTTCGGCGCTTCTCCGTCCCTCACACAGGTCCGCCTGTCGTCTCCGGGTCCATCTATTTACTGTCCACACAGAATGGTACGGTCTAGTCTTGTGAGCGTCACACGTCACTTCCGGAGCCTCTATAACCCGTGCACCTGTAAAGCTGTTCACGTGGTCAAAGATCGTCTATTTAGTGCGTGACAGCACGTGCTTTAATTCTGCGCTGTACATTTGCAGTTTGGCACACAACATAATACAATTTTTATTTTCACATACAAAAATACAAATTTATGTAACGTGCATATTCTGATCAAGGTCTACCCTGATCAGAATATTTTGATCAAGGTATAGTACTGGCTTTATTTATGCATTTATTTTTCTATGCTTATTGTTCTGTTCGTTTAATTTAGTTGCTTTTTATTCTTGATAGACACTTTAATGATTCTGCAAGAGATATAACTGTGCTACAGGACCTTCATAAAGAATAATAATAAAATGAGTGTAATCTACAATGAACACAAAATTGTTAAAGGTATCACAGGTTCATATTTATGGTCTTATTATGTGAGGTGGGGCGATATTTTATATACAGTATATACATATACACACTTATACAAAAACAGCAAGACTGAGATTGTGCAAAAGAGAATTCAAGCAGATATACTGTAGATGCCATAAATATATGCTAATTAATTGTTTAACTAATTATTATTAATTAAAGAACGACACTATGTAGGTCTTCATTGTCTTAAGACTAACAAGAACAACACTATGCACTAGCTAACACACTTAAAGTACTTTTGTTTTTAAGTGTTGTGTATCAACATTGACTGATTGAGGTATTTGCACTTCAAGTGTTTCCATTTCTGGTATTCTTCTGTGCCATCACACTTTCGCTTACTTTCATTCATTACCTGTCTGGGAAGCTGAACACGGTTGAACTGAACTGTTTATTTAAAAGAAAATATTGTGCTTTCTTACATCTATTTGGCCACTTTACATTTCAGGTCAACATTTTCACGTGTATGACATGATCTGTTCATAAAATATAATTTTTATTTTCTACTGAATTAACATGGAGTCGGGTAATCAGTTCAGTTTTATTCAGCAGTATGCACCATGCAGTATTGATGTTGTTCATAATTTGTACAGATTGAGATGAATTAAATCATAAAATTTACACACAGTTGATCTGGAGCTTTGAATGCTTTTCCAAAGCTGAATTTGCTCAAATTAAAGATGTGAGCATAAAAGATGTTTGACATACAAACTACATCACCCTTTGAGACTAACTTAATTTTCTATGACATACTGTAAACAGTTTTTACTCCCTAAGACTTTCTTGATTGCCCCCACTTCATTACACAAAGTAAACCAATAACATCTGCTGTAAATCAGATTTCAATTTAAAAACTGGCAGTAATTTCCTGAAGGAACAGCTCATGTGTTCTTTAATTTTAAGGCTATCGCTTCAGTGCTTCTTTTTCTCTCTTAAGGCTCAATAATTGAGTATATTTCACACAGCATGATAAATATTTACACCTGTGCAAAGGCGTAACTTTCCACAGGGCAGCTCAAGGGCCCAGAAGGTATGAGGGGACCCTTCAATGTGCACTAGAGGAGTCAGCGAAAAGCCTTAATTTCATTTTACCATAAAAATGATTGAAAACTATAAACAGTGTTGGTATGATAAACACAAAGCAATAGAAAAAGATGTATAAAATATGATGAGCATAACATGTCATTTTATTGGTTTAAAATAACTTGGGGCCTGTCAACATACACACCCAAGTTATTCTACGTTTGGTTTTTATTGTTATTTCATTGTGACTTTTGTTTGTAGTTCAGTTTAGTTTCAGTTTGCTTGTTTTGGTTTAGTCTTATTAGTTTCAGCATTAGGTTCTATTCTTTTGAAGGGTTATTGTATTCGAGGGCGTACGCCCGAGGCTAGACTTAGTGAAATTGCTGTAGGTGTTACAATAAGGAAGCAGAGCTTTCTGAAAGCAGCTGACTTAAAGTCTTGTAACAAGCATGCTCTTCAAAGCCTCACCAGGCAGATTATGATAACAAACGTTACCAAATATTAAACTAAGTTTATTTTCGGTTTTTATTTTACTTCATTTTTCCAAATTCACAACTCATTTCAGTTATTTTTAATCCCCTTCAAAAATCTAGTTTCTATTCTTGTTCTATTGAACCATATGTTTTTATATATAGCTTTAGTTAACTATAACAACCTTTGTACAGACTAACAGTGACTCTGTGAGGACAGTTGTTTTTTGCTCCAGAGTGGGAACTCTTCGTTTTGTTTTTTTTTGTCTCTCTTTGACGTTGTGGCTAAAAATAGCGTCCGTGCGCTGCCGGGAGGTGGAGATACAAATAATAACAACTGAGAAGGAGGGAGGGAGGTCGGGACTCTGGTGCCTGCTCGGCGCACACAGTTCAACTTTCAGGTCATAAAGTCACAACAAATCCACGCGGTTTAGAAGTTACTGCTCTTTCAAGCACACACAGACACAATCGGGATGATTTTTGATCATTTCGTGCCGGGACAGGTGATCGATTGGGCAGCCGGGGGAGGGAGTGAAACCGATACTGCGTAGTCTGGCCACCTCTGGCTGCACCAATGAGAGCCCGCGGAGGCTGCTCCGAAACTAGCGCAGCGCTGCATGCTTGGCAGGTGGACAAAAGCTGAGCTCAGGGCAGAAAAGTGTTTCACAAGCTTTTCTGCTTTTAAACAGGACGGGAGAGAGTGCAACACGCAAACAAACTCAGGGAAACGGAGATAGTGATATCGGCGAGAAAGCAAGCAGCAGTGCCTCAAAGTCAAACTGCTTCAATACAAGTGAATAAAAAAAAAAATCGAGTAAAATATATCCAAATTAAATAAAGGTGCATTAAGGCAATCTAAAAAAATGTAGATTAATATTTAATTTCACCAGGTTGTAACATGATTATTATTATTACTGATGATTGTCTTGTGTGTTATAAAAGAATAAGCTCTATAACTGCTACATACTATTAGACAACTGTAAGTTAAAGTACCCTGTGCGCAATTAGTGAACTCTGTTCACTTAAAAGAGATCTGTTCCACTTTTTCTGTCACACATATACTGTAACAATGGCTCATATCACACATCACTGAAGTTTCTAATAATAAGGCTACTATATGTTCAAGTAATCCCTGTCATCTGAGTGCTTGTTTTTATAATATTCTTGGCTCTGTAAGTCATCACTGAGTACATATCCCCAATATGGTATGAGCACAGAAAGGGGATAGTCTAAAGGGCTGCATAGTCAGGAAAAGATAAATAAGGATTATTTTGAGCTGTGAATCATGCAAAGCTACTTTAAAAAAAAAACCATAGAGAGCTGGAAATTAACATAACTAGTCCCCTTTAATTATTCCTCCAATTTCTTATCCAGGTTCAGGTTGCAGGGGGTCTTAGAAGAGAGGCCCAGCTGATCCAGCTGTCCGGGCCTCCTCCCAGTAAGACATGCCTGAAACAGGCAGCAGTGACGGGGAGATGTAGAGGCACATTTACAGCCGCAGCGTCGTGAATGTCAGAACTTCCTGTTGTGCAGCGCAGCAGCCAGCCGCAGCGACTCTCTTTGGTTTGAGCCAAGTGTGGCTTTGCTGCTCACCTCCTGCCACTGAAGAGCACCGTTACTGCTCAGCACCTAAAAAGCAACAGATAATAACATGTAAATGCAGAAAGGAGGAAATGTAAAACAGTCGGCCAGCCAATTTATTCTTCACGCTGTAAAACACTCGATGTTACCGTGTTGTTGATGTCCACCATCACCTGGCTTTTTCTATCCAGGTGAATGTTTAGGACAGTCATTTCCACCCAGGCGTTATCCGTGTTCCTGCAGTCATCCACATAACCCTCAAACACCTAAAACCAAACAACCACGTTCATCAACAAATTAATCGATATCATATTAATGTATAGTTTCAGCCCTGGCAGGATGCTCCCCTTCTCTCTTGAATGATTCAAACATTTCTCAGCTCAGGAAATAAGTAATTTGTTTTTGATGTTTACATTTTTTATTTTATAATGTAATATTTAATCGAATGCTTTCTATTGTATCACTAAATTTACTAACCAGTGTTTATATCAAAGACAAACAGAGGGCCTGTTCTTCCTGCTCTCTCAAAATGCTATCAGTGACAGCTGTTGACATGTTCTTCTATCTAAAGCTGTCGTGCTTTACAGCTGTTCTTTGTTTTCATTGCTCCTGCAGCTACTTTAAAGCTTTACCACCACAGTGCTGCACAGACTTACCTTTGTTCCCTCTGACAGTTTTGCGTTGATCGTTTCACACAGCTTTTTTCCCATCGTTTTTTTAAGAGTTGGTGGCAGTTTATCAGCAGAATCAACAGGGCCCTGAAGGTTTTAAAGCCACAGTGTGATTGAACAGTGCAAAAAAAATGTATAAACCACATTAAATGGACAAAGACTGGAACTCACTGCAGGTAAAGCTAAAGTTCTTCGACTCTCGTCACAAACTGCCAGGTACTCCAGAACTGACTTCTCACTGTCTCGCCAGCTAAAAATAAGTGAAAAGTCTCAGATATTTCTGTGCAAAACAACCTTTTTAAAACCTCTGCAGGGGCATTGAGATGACCTACCGTGTAATCACAAGCTCTACACTGAGGTTTGGACCCAGGCAGCTCAGTGCCCCACGCCCACTGATGCCCGTCCTCCCCCCTGGGTTTCTGAGATGACAAGCTCCTTATCAGACATCAAGACATGCTTTTGAGGTTACTATAAGTAATACTGAATAGGTTCTATATCTGTTCTTGTGTCATACCTGTAATTAGCTAAGGCTTCTGGTTCTGATCTGCAGGGAGAAACAAAGATGAAGAGCGTACAGAGATTGGAGGAGGCGGTCTTGTAATTACACAATAAAGTCAAAGTTAGGCCAGAAAGCTTATTTACTGTGTTCAAATAGATTCGACCTGAAAACTGGTAATTCACTTGTCACCGAGGCCCATTCATTACCTGCTAATTAATGTTTTTATGGGTATAATATGCAGGTTAAAAACATAATGTGTATACTCACGCAAAATAATCCCTTTCAATGATTACTTATAACCTACTGGAAGAGTGTTGCTTTCTAGACATGTGAAAAACAGACTCTACGCTGTCCTCAAATAAAAAGCTAGTGAAAACAGGAAAGTATGGCTCCACACACCCATCCACATGGTCTTTGCTGTCGTCAGAGGTATAATTAGTTGGTTTGTATGAGCTGAAACTGACCTGGGGAAAAAAAGGAGATAAAAACCACCAGAATTATTGGACAATTTATCAGTTCAGTGACTTTCTGAGGAGTGGCAACTGGTGACTTTGTGGTGGAAAAAAATAATTTAAGTACCTCCCAGGGCACCTTCTCCTCAGGCACAGGGAAGCGCGTGAGTTTGCTGTTTGGGTAGGAAAACTGACGGGAATTCACGTGGAAACCGCTTCCTTTCTCAGATGCATTCCTGAAAGAATCTGGGGTCTCATCTACGACAGCTGGAGCTGCAGGCAACAACAAAAATGTGCACAACCAGCAGCAGATTTAGAATATTTATCAAACATAAATCTGTGACATGTAAATAGTGAATTAAATTTGGTACTGACTCCGTGACTGTGTGTCTTTTGAGGGCACACCCTGAGGTTTCAGACTATCCATAATCAACTGCAGGGCTTTAGTAGACTGGCTGACCTGATGAGACAAAGGAAAGTGGATCAACTACTTCTGTTAACTGCTTAGATCAAGGACGTCAAAGTAATTTTACACGTATAGCTAACTTTGATCTTAAGTGGGTCAGAGCAGTGAAACGCCTCTTTCTGTCAGTGTAAAGTGTAACTACACGTTTAATCCCCGAGCTAGAGATTTTTTTTGTTTAACTGTGAACCCACTGTAAAAAGTACACATTTATGCATTAGATAGTGAAGAAAACAGGAATCTTAATTGGTTATTTGCTACTTTATGACTTTGGTGTAGTATGAATGGAAATGGGGGAGGTGTTTATCAGTAGGAAAAGCCATAAAACGTATTAAAAACGCAGTTCAAAGTCTAAAATTTACACCTCTGACACACAAGAGCGTGCCACAAAAAGCGTGCCGTGTCTTTAGTGCCTCAGGTCACCCTCCATTAGCATATCGTGACATATTACAGACACAGGTGCAACATTAGTACCAACCAAAGGAAATCAGGCCACAACCTGCTCTTCAAGTTGAGTCAGTCTTTTCAGCATGGCAGCAGCACTCGTTTCCCCATTTCTCTCCAGCAGATCAGTTATGATGTTAACCCTGAAGAAACAAGTGTCAGTTTGAAAATTACTTAAAGAAAATCATCAGTCTTTACAATAAAACAAACAGGAAATTATTATATATTACTTTTTTTTAATAACACAGAGTGATTTCAATAATTTTTATGTAAATATTGTTTGGTGAAGCAGCCACATCCAAGTCCTTGGACAGAAAATATCTCTATATATACCCTAAATCTATCCACCTGTGTGTGATACATAAGGTGATTATGCATGCAAATTGGTCCTTTGGTATCTAAAAGCTCATTAAAAAAAGAACGTGAAATCACATTTTGGCTGGACTGCTCACTCCGTTTTATGGAAACTGGTGTGATGATGCATAGACGGCACACATACAGCGACTTTTGGCTACATTACTGTGAGATTACTTCTGGGCTGTGTCCAAGATGCGTCTCTCCGTGCTCTGGCTCTGCTCCTGCCGTGCAGACACCAAGTATCTGTCTTTCATCAAGGACTCCCAGGTCAGCAGCTCCTCATCCTCTGTCGGGTTGAGCTCATTCTCTGAAAAACAGCATCACATGCTTTGAATCACTGCATAACCTAATTCTGCACATCCATGCGGACAGAAAACCCTGCACAACAGATAAACTGGGAGTGAGTTAAACAGAAAGAGCAAATACTAGCTGCTCAGCGACCTTTTCTTTTCAATTCATGTTCAGTTTGGTTTTTTTCCCCTGTATTTTATAGTTATAATAATCTTTTTAAAACACAAATTAGGTTTTTGTTTAAAGCACTGTCAGGGTCTGCAGATGACCTCTGAATACATTAAACTTTCAGCATCTTCATTGCCACGTTCTCAACAGCACCAAAAACAGGTAAAAATCTGTCGACCGTGAGCAGAGACAGAGGAGATAATCTGCATTAATGAGATAAATAAAGGGTCATACTCTGGTTACCGTATGATGGGGATAAACTGATCCATCTCCATGGCAACCGGGCAAACTTCACCTGCTGACGAACACCATGAGATGTGGCTAAAAGCTCTGAAACTTGTGTTTCGATTTAGTTTTGAAAACAGAAGCCTTCACCTGCATTCGAGATACTTGTTTTGATGTGACCTAAATGTGGGATTTCAGTCATGTGATCTGCTTTTGCTCACATGACTGTCCTGGTTTTGGAGCCATACTCACTCCACTGGACACTCAAGAAACAGTTTTATGTGACAGAAAATACAATATTAGATCTTTTGATCTTGTTATTTCATAGTTTTAGTTACAGTGTGTTAAACATCACCACTAGATGTCAGTAGATTGCAGTCAACTGAGTTCTATTTTCTAAACTCTCCCAATTTAGGTGCATAATTCTAGATAAGTTGGTATTGGACTTGGACACTTAGCAAATCAGCTGTCACACGATGTGAGAATATGGTCAAACTGTTCATCAGAGGGAAAGTGGGATCTTTAGGACACTTGAGCCTAACATTAGATGGAGTGATGCAGAGTAAAAGCAGCTGTTTTTTTAGCCGACTCACTGTCTGCTGTGCTGAGATGCGAGGGTTGCATGGCTAATCTGCTGATATATCGGATATAAATAACCAAGGTTATGCATGTTTTTGTGTGCTAGAGCACTGACTTCAGTTCAGGAGATGAAGCTTGAGGTGATGAGGAAGAGGATGACCTTTTTAAAAAGATCCCATCTCTGCCCTTAGCATTTTCACCATACATAGGTATAGCTACCATCTTTCATACCTTGAGTCTGAAGTTGCAGGTACAAATTTAAATCTGCCTTCGTGGCATGTGAACGCCTACAAGTTCTCTTCTTCACCTTTGGGGTACCCTGTATGTGGGTGGTCTGTAGCCATGTACATAAATAATGAAGCATTTTTAATTACACAAAAGTCTGCAAAGGTGTGGATAAACACTTCAGCACTTACTGAACTCTTTGTATATTTTGGGGGGCCTCCGCAGCACCATGCTTCTGATGAAGAGGTAGATATGACTGAAGATGATGAAAGGAGGAGGGGCAGCAGGTCGACTGTGGTACTCCTTAATTAACTCGTATCTTTGAAACTTCCATATTTTGTCTGTGTTGTCCTGGACTTCCTCAAATGTAAAGCTGTGCGGGACGATAACACGAAACATAAGAAAGTTTAAAAATAAAAAAAGGCGAGGGCTCATCATCATCATTAAAACAGTAAGATGACAGAAAAGCTCATGCACTTTGATGACAAGGAGGACTCACTTGAAAATTGCTATTAAGAGGTTGAGCAGCAGTATGTTGGCAAAGAGCAAATAAACACAAAGCATGATGATGGTGAGCCATTCAGGAAAAACCGGGCTCTGGTTTTCGTTCAACACGGGACATTTAGGCTTCAGGGGATCTGTAGCATTCACGCTGCAAGAGTTCATGTCAAACTCAGTGTCTGCAGGAAGAAAAATGACATCCTCATTAGTGATGAGCAAAGTTGAAGCCTTTGGAGGAGAATAAATATGTGTAACAAAATACTGAAACAAATTATTACAGCTAAAATAAAAAATAGCTATTTTTTAAAGTATAAGATTCTCAAAATCCACTCACTATCAATATTTTTGGGAAACTGGCCAAATATGATGAGGTATGGCTCGTAAAGCACCCCACGGATGATCCAATCCAGACGATTTTCATTGTGGATGAGGATGCCTTGTTTGGCGACGCCATAAGCCACCACCCAGATACTCAGGAGGAACATGAAGAAGAACATGTCCATCATCTGGAGGATAGAAAGGCACCAATCATGAAATAAGTGTGGTAACAAAATGATCCAAGTGTTCAAAACACCTTTTTGAAACACAAGGACTACATTTCATCTGCAGACTATGATCGAGGCTCGGTGAGGTAGAAGCCTCTTATTGTATTAGATAACAGTTTTTTTTGGTGTAGCCATAAAACCTCAGGTCAGCATGCTTTGTATTTGTTCTGTAAACCCCTCACCATCTTTCTGACTATGATGATTTTGGGTCCGAGGGTTCGGCTGATAGTGAAGATGGCCATGAGACGGAGGCAGAAGACCACAAAATCGATGCAGAGGATGATTTTACCCAGATAAAACAGCTCTGTTGTCAGCCTGAAGTAGGAAAAGCTTGGTGATTCATAGATAATGCAGTGGGTGGATTGATTTCCACAGGCTGTCTTAGAGAGCAAAAACTCACCTAAATGCAAGGCCGATAAGGAACAAGACGATGGAGAGGACATCTAAAATATTCCAAAACTCATTGATGTACATCTTGGCTTTCTTACGAAACCCAAAACCATCTGGATCATGAAAGAGCTGAAAGAGAAAAGAGAATTAGACATAAGATGATTTTACAATCACCTATCATTTAAATTATTTGATTACTTTCTAATCAATAAATAAACCATTAAAGGATAAAGAAGCCTTTGAAATGAAAACAAAAAAATAAGACAGAAAAAGGGAGTTACTCAGGGACACGATTTAGGTAGGTAAACAAACTGACTGCCCTCTCTACATCAAGGGGAACTGTGTTAAAATGGGTCACACCCAGAAATCCTCTGAAGAGCTTTCCTGCTAGCACCATGTGGGTTATTAAGAAGGTACAACAGCGACTACAACTGCTGGAGCCTACAAGCTGCAGGCCTTGCCTTTTAAGCTCCTCTGCTTAGAACGTAATGGCATATTGTATCTCTGAGTAACAGATCACAGAGCTCTTCAGTGGGTCATCAACACAGCACAGAAAACCATCGACGGCTGTTTACCCTTCCACTGCCAGCTCCTGTCACCTCTTAGGGCTGCGCGCTTGCTAAAATTCCTCACATCCAGGATGCTACCTGTTTGACCTGCTACCCTCTGGATGGAGCAGGACCTTCAGAGCATTTTAAGGCCTCAAAGACAGTTTCTTTCCCAGGGCCATTTACACAGTGAATTTCAACTAGGACTAAATGTCTGTTTACAGGCTATATAATGACTGCCTTTTTAGGGAAATGCCTACTAAAGGTAATTACAAGATAATTTCAAATTTCAATTTCAAAGATAATTATATTCATTCTGGTGCAATAATTACTCTCACTAGTGAATCAATGTCATTCATACTACCCCAAAGATTACCCTGATGTAATTTTATATTTATTTGTTTGTGTATTGCCTTTTCAGGCGCATGCTTATTCTTTTCTGTCCTACTTTAAATGCATTCGTTTTTGCTGCATTTGTTACAACTACAAAGGTTTTCTATTCTCTGTGGACTTGCTCTGTTACACTGCTCCCTCCTCTAAAAGAAGAAGGGCACTCACCATTTCTTACTGCTGACCTTTTAAACATTTGAGCCTATAAAGGTGAATGGGGCCACACTTTGTGTTGAAAATTTTAAAGACTGTCTCTCTACAATACAGTACAGTGCACACAAAGAAAAAAAAGACTATTTGTTCGTTGTTTTGTATCATTTGTGGGTCTGAGCCACAGTTTCTCACCTGTCTGACCTCCTCGCACACCAACGAGAGCAGCCAGATGTAAAGCAGCAGCTCGCCAGCAGAGGGCGTCTTCTGGAAATCGATCATCAGCACCACAGCAAACAGGAAGAGGAAGGCGAAATAAAATACAATGTTCCAGTAAAATTTAACCTGTGGGGAGGTGTACAGGTACATCAGCCTGGACCAGCAGCCCAGATGCTTCATGGGCTTCAAGCTGTGGACAGAAAGATCACTGCAGTCAGAGAGACAATGCCATGTTTTCATGTATCCACTGTTTATTCAACTTCAAATGACATTTAAGGTCATGCAGCGATGAGGGTTGATATCTGCATTAAGGAACAAGTGTGTACATACGGGCCATAACCATTTCTTCTAAGTGTGCTTCCTGTCAGGTTCTCCACTGTCTTCATCTCCTCGTCTTTCGCAGTTTCTCTCTGGATGATTTCATCATGTCTGTGGAAAAGTTACACTTTTGACCACAGCTGAAACTCAATCAGGTATTATTATTAAAAAGAATACAAGCAGTAATCAAGTTAAATTGGTGTATTGTTTAATTAACAATGTCAAAAACCCTCCAACCAAAGGCATTTGAAACCATTAATCACATTCGTCAATAATGAATCGTAGTTTAAATGCGTGGCACCTCGCATTATGAACATTGTTCAGCACATTATGAAGAATACACATTGCTCTACAATTCATAACAACTATCTCAATGAAAGTTAAAATCTAAAACGATAAATAATCCATCCATTTCTTCCTTTGGGTCATGGGGGGCCTAAGCAGAGAAGTCTACACCTCCCTCTCCCCAAGCCACCTCCTCCAGGTTATCCAGGGGAACACAGTGGCCAACCGAGTGTGTCCAAGGTCTACCCAGAGCCTCCTCAGAGTAGGACATGCCCGGGAGGCGACCACCCCAACTGGCTCCTTTCGACATTGAGGAGTAGCGGCTCTACTCTGAGTACCTCCTGAATGACTCCTCAACCTATTTCTAAAGAAGAAAGCTAATTTCT